ATTACACCTACTATACAACTCATATACATGTGCTAGCTATGATGTAGTACATGTGTATACATGTGCTACACAACTTGTATTACACCTACTATACAACTCATATACATGTGCTAGCTATGATGTAGTACATGTGTATACATGTGCTAGACAACTTGTATGTCAACAACCAGGAATATTGAGGAAAAGAGAGACCCTATCCAACGCCTACATTGCAGTAGTGCCACCTAGACAACTCGACTACATACAAGAATGAGGCTTTAGCAGTTAGACACTAAAAGAGTTTCTCTTAAATTCCTACGCTGCTATTTCCCCGCAATAACCATGGAATTGGTAAACATTCATGTGTAATGGTCTCAATTGGTATATAAATTATAGGCATACAATCGTGTATACCCGACAACATTTTCCAAATTTTGCTTCCGATATCCTTACCCATTTCGCACATAAATGAAGTCTGCACCCACCTTCTCCATTTCATTTCATATTAAACCATAATTTGAACGCTTATAGCACACTCTATATTTAAAACTAATTCTCTTAAATTTCACATACACAAGTTTTTATATTTCCATTACACAAAAGAAAAATTCATTTCTCCTGTTAAATGAAATTGAACAAAAATACATAATATCATGAACTGAATTGGTAGATCCAATAAACTAAAAAGATGGGCAGTTCAAGCATGGTTTGTTGGGAAAGGCAAAATCTATTCATCTTAATTACGGTATCAATTTTGAGAACTTCACTGAGGTGAATATAGTATGTCCCAGTTTGCCTTCTCAACAGTGAAAGAAGTAACTCTACAACGTGATACAATGCTAAATGTACAGCAGTTTGCCAAAAATAAGAAAGCTAAGAAAATTGGTGCAGCTAAAAGCAGGCAGCATTTTACCTCAAACGGAATATAAACTGAAGCAATGGTTTCAAGTTTTGATATCTCGACAATTGATGTGCCGGCATCTTTAAGTAGCTACAATATAGTAAAAAATCAATCTTTAGATAAATACCTGGCAAGAGAAATTTTATAGTAAAGAAGAGTTTAAGGGAATTGACCATGCGAACATACATGAATTTCACTGATCTCCAACTGAACATGAAGTTGCGTGCTTTCTCCAACATCTTCAATAGATTGAGTTTTTGAGCCTTTTAGGTGGATGCCCATAATGCTATTCTCAACCATTAAACCCTCTACCCGGTGCACAAACTTCACATCCACTTTGGGTAAAGTGAAGCTAAGCTATCAAACAAAATACAGTAAGTATATCAATCAAATGCAAGCACCACTACCTATATGTGTGCTATTACATAACAAGTATTGGGTATCCCAGTCCACGCAGTATATGTTGATCATGTGTTTTTTACCAAGCATTGCACGAGATGATGCCTAATCCACCTGTCACTCCTATTTCAACTGCTTGACAAAAGCTGTTACCCTAACTGCACCTCTTTTACCTGATATCTACTGTGCCGACTGCACTCAGATCATGATTTCCATTTAATGTTTCAACTGTGAACAATAATGAAATTTCTTCAAGTGATGGGAAAATAAGTAAGCTTAAAGTGCCTCACATAGGACTCCTCGCCCAAAAAGTTAAAGAGAGAAATTACAGACATAGCAGACCAGTTCTTCTAAAACTACACAAGGAAGAACTAGTCTAGAAAGGAGTTAATTTTCAACTGCATAGCAAATGCACATAAGATTTTCAGTCAATATTCTTGCTATTCAGGGTTTAACTGAATGTGTCGAATTCAATTAATTGGAGCATGTTTCGCACATAATGGGCATTTAAAGAACACTATTGTAAATTGGTCCCTACTAACTGATAAATTACATTTACAATTTATGTATTCTAGTCTAGAATTTCTTGAGATTGTCTGGAAGAAGTAAGAACAATGTTCAACAGCATCATCTCCGTGCTATTGAACCTTAATTTTCCAGTCTGTTTTTATTGCTGTTTCTTCCTAGTGGTAATCGACTGCACATACCATCAATTAAGAACCTTGCCTTACAGTAAATTGCTTTCCATGGTGTTGTTCATGTAATGAAACACATGATCTCTATATGAACACTCCTTTTCTATGTTCATCTCACATACAGGTACATGTGACCACGAGTGAGATTTTTGCTTGCACAGTTTGACCCAAGGGCCATTTTCTTCACACTAGGCAGATTGTACTCTTCAACATTAAACTCTTCTACTTCTCAGTCTTTAAGTTTTTTCTAATAGTTGATAAAATCCAAGAATTCCTTAACCTGCTCTTGTCCTCCCAGCTACTTGCATTTCTATTCAATGCTAGACAATATAAATAAAGTGCCCTCCTTTTGAGCCCCTAGAATGACACACACTAGATATTTTAGGGGATGTCATTCTTTTTCCTTAATAAAAAGCATGACATTCCCTACAATTACTGAAATCCCAATAATTCTTTCCCATCCATGCTGAAACCCTTATCTCCCCCATAGAGAATCTATATGTTATCTAGTGGTGGCGGAACCAACTAAGATGCATGTTATCTGACCCGCCTGCAGACATCTTCAATGCCTTCTTCTTTCCCTCTTCTACATCCAAACTTTCTGAAATGCTCCCATTAATCATCCATCTCATCATGACTGACCAATTCATACTTCCTAGTAAACTGCATATCCCAACTGAATGTCGTTCCCCCTTGAATCACTATCAAGCCGCAAGGTAGCAGTAAAATTGTCAATTGTTTGTATTTTGAAGATATTGAGTTTCAGCTAAATTATACAGTTCTCCCATTCCTCCTTCTACCTCTATCCGTCCCACCTTATTAAATTTCCATCTCCTTCCTTCACCAGAAAAAGGGTAGCCATTTGAGTGAAGTAGTTAGTAAATTATTTTTGGGTGTGGAGGCCAATTGGTTGGAAATGTCATCAGTTGTGCATTGGTCTTCCCTCACACACTGATCCTCCCCCTTTTTGCTTCGCTTGTTCACTTCACTAGTCATTCCTTCAGTATTCTCTATAACTTATCATGGAAGATCATTCAACTTTTGATGAAATATTGCTAGGTTCAGTTAAGCTTTTGGTCTTGGTTTGGGTTTTGGTTGGTCAGAGGCTGATTATGTTGTTACACTTAGTCTCGGTTTATGTTTACTGTCTGTATCGGTTTGTGGTTTTTTTAAGTGAACTCGGGTTTGTACTTTTTAAGTGAAATCTTTAGTTATAAGGAACAATCTGAAGTCCTGGGCTTTTCCTAGCAGGTCTTTCACTCACCATGGTACAGTCAAGGGCCTGCTTACTCAACTTCATACTGGATGGCCCCTAAAATTTCAGGCGTTCTGTTCTCAAACTCCCAAACTTAACCAATAATTCACTAACTGGTGCACTCATGGTTGCAAGTTGATTGGCTTCGTCTCTCCATTGTTCCTAGTCCCCATTTAACTTGAGTGCATCTTTCTTTTACATTGGGCTTATCATAATTTTCTGGACCCGCCTTCAACTGTCTGACCCATCTTACCTTTGATTTAAAGTGATCACCATGTAGGCCAGTCCCATATGCAATACGTCTTCGTTCTTGTATATGTTTCTTCTCCGACATATTAGTAACAGCAAAGAATTTCATTTGCAGCTTCTTCCATGGACTCAAATGATAAGGCTTTCTCCTTCACTGGGAACTCTATTTCTCCTTCACAATTGCATTAAGATTTGATGGATTAAGGTACAGCTCTATCTCTTTTTCCACTGGCAAGCAATGTAATATAAGACTTGCTTAAGATGCACTTAAGCTCTAAACCTAATCAAGCACAAATTGTACGCTTCATCTTTGATTATTCAGTGCTTAACATAGTTACCAAAGCATCAAAGAGGATAAACATATATAGTCAAGCACATTAGAAAAGATGAGAATAAGGAAATAGCTGACCTTTTCTGGAAACATAGAGGCATATTTTTCTCTCATAAAAGCAAAAGCTGATGGTTTTTTCTCTGGTTTTTCAGTAGTACCAGATTCATTAATCGGCTTTATAGCTACATGTGAAATATCTGCACTTTTCTTTTTAAGAAGCAGCTCCTCATTCAGATTAACCGAAATTTCACCATTTCTGATATCCACATTCCTAACAACCACTCCTGCTTCCCTAAACGAAAAGAAACAGCAACGAGAAGTAACGAGGCACAGTCAACATCAGACTAAAAGATGAAAAATTGCTTTCACTAAGATCAGATTACATGAATGCATTTGAATAAGTCACAGGGCAACACTGTTATCCACAATAAGCAATGATTTGTATCAAGCACATGGCAAAGAATAGTAGCAAACAGGGTCTGTTGGATGATATACTTCCCGTCTCATCTAGAAATGAGAATCGAGAAGAGCTAATTAAATTGCTCTTTTTAATGCCAGAAAACATTGTTGTTTCGAATAGCATAAAACAGAAAGCCGGTAAACTTTTCATCTAGCAAAGTCAAAAAATACTTGTCCCCTTCATGCAGGACATATTTAAGTTAAAAGGTGAAATCTTGTTCACGATGACATTTTCATGCTCACTGTTCAGTGATATAGCAGCTCTAGCTCAAACCTGTTTACGATGAAGTAAGGTTATTTTATTCACAATAACAGCACCAGGCAAGTGCTATTGTTATAGAGCACCAAGCAACTCTAGCTCAAATATTTACATCCACACAATTGTGTTTTTGTTTGATTTCAGATATCTACTGTCAATCCAATTCCAAAAAGTTGTGGAGCTTCTATCTTACTGTCTTCTGTTTTATTTCTTGATTGACAAGCTACCATCCTAGTTTTCCTATGATTGGGGTTCTTCAATGTATCCTTTTCCTATATAAATATAGGTGCTACATCTTTATAAACAGCAAGTTCTCTTCTCCTCAATGAAATTCATCTCTGTACTTCACGATTTATCAAAGAACTTTTATAGTTTTGCTCAATCAGCCCCTTTTGACATATCCATGTTTTCCATCAAACAAGATGACATGATCTAAGAAAGTTCCTTCTGCTCAACCTGTGTAAACTCAACATGCTCTTTATCTCAAAATCTTATTGTACTTAGACAAGGAAAGGGAGATGTAAAACTATCACCTCAACATATATTGCATATCAAATAGCTGTTTTCTTAATATATAAGCTGGGACTACTCGTTCTTTACATAAGAACAATTTTTTGAAGGTTTAATTGGACAAAATGACCTGCTTTATGAGAAATTAAAGAAAGCTCTAGTTTAGGTATTTGTGTTACTTTTGTATAGCATATTGAGAGATACAATTACTTAGTTAATATAAGGCATCTTTTGGAAATTTAGCTGTATGAGATGCTTGAGGGCTTCTACTTCCAAAGAAAACTAAACCAATTTGGTGCACATATTAAGCTTATAAGTTATAACCTTTAAAATTTCCAAAGAAAAGAAAAAAGCAAGAAAATGTAGAAGTAGTTGAGCCAACTGATTATCTTAGATAAGGTTCTCGTGTTTAAAACAACAAAGGTAATGAGACGGCCCGAGCTGTTAAAAAGTTGTAGGAAGAAAATAATGGCATGGACATTAACGGCACTCCGAAAGCTTAAATTCTGATCTAACACAACCAGCAAGTATATTACTATGTATGGGCTACAAGAGAAGTAACTAGGATTTGAATGACTAGAGGAGAGGCCCCATAAATTGTCAGTTACTGAATAAATTAAACTACATAATGCATTTTTTTTTAAAATGAAACAATTGAAAAAGTATACCTATCATGGCCAAACTCACACAAGAGAGAAACTTCCTCACAGCGGAAAGGGGCAGAGGTCCTTTCCGTCATGGTTAGTATTGCACGGTTGGCAGGAAAAGATCCGCTGTGCATTGATGATTGACCAGAACTGACTTGTGATTCACATACGTGAACAAGAATAGAAGTAACGTGCAACTTGACAGATAAGGCTGGCTCTGATCCATTATCTTTAGATATATCAAGTGTTATTTCTTTAACTTCCAAACCAGCTTTTGGTGTCTACAAAATTTAAAGAGAGAATCAACAAGCATAAGAAAAATGATACATGAGGGGAAAAAAGCTACCGAAATTAACAAGAACATAAGCATCACAAAGAAGAAAAAATATCATGTGTATTAGAACAAATTAGGAACATACTTTGGAACAAAATGGATGTCCCATTAAGAAATACTTTATCTAGCTATCATTGCATTAACATACTACACTAAGGCTACAGGTCATTGCAGAACAGAAACAAATTTCATACAATTCCTTCACTTTATGGGTAATGAATTTCCATGCACATAAAGCTTTAATGATATTCCCCAATACCACTAACAAATGGAGTACTCCAAATTATTCTCTTCTTGTTAGTGCTTCTTAATGATCTGTATCCAAAAGTATAAGAGTCTATAATATTTTTTCCAGTTTCCCGTATATAACTTTGAAAAAGAACACGTTTTTGTTTTGACAGGTAAGATAACTGAATTAAAAGCACTCAAAGGGGAACCTATGCACACCAGAGTATACCAATAAAATATCCAAACCTCAAAAATATCTACCCCCCAAACACCTCAGAGTAGTGATTACAACTAATTAACCCCTTAAAAAAATTACACTCCACTCATTGAGGTTTTCGTCATTTTTCTTTCTTGATATAATAACCATGTCATTCACACCCACTCCAAGCTTTTTTGGCTCCATTTATTGTTCTTTGTTTGTTCCCTTTTGTTCTTGCCTGCACTCTTAAAGCTACTTCCTTGCCAGCTTTTCTCAATGTACACCGTCTTAACATTTACCTTCATTTCATATCGTCCCACTATAACCCCAATGCCCAAAGTCTTATAACGCTGCCCTTTTAAATCTGGTCTGCCTACGTCCGCGTGTTAAAGTAAAGAACATGTTACAATGGAATTTGTACAAATTCTTAAATATTGTTAAGTTGCAGATTCCTTTATTCTGATTAATATTAGTAGGATCTCTAGTTTCACATTTATTGCAAAATCAGTTAACACAAAAAATCAATATGTTCCCATCAGTCAATCATATACTTCAACTGATTTCCTTGGTTTTTTTTTAATAATGATGCTGCCTGGGCCATCTTTCGTACACTCGACTATTCCACTGGGTACCTGCTAACTCCTACCAGCACAGGTACCGGGTAATTCTGCCCACCAAGGCTTAGGCAGATGAAAAAAAATCACCTACTTTTTGTCCCCACTAGGATTTGAACCTTGATCTCCAAGGTATACTTCAACTGGTTTCTTGTAAGCATTAACCTACAATTCAAATCCTTCTATGTATAAGTTGATCGAACTCGGAAGTAGCGCGCTATACAGGCAAAAGCAATTAATTTCCTTGTTTAGTTATTTCAGCTCACACATAAAGTAAGAATTTCAGTGAATCAAAAAATTATTCAAATATATTTTTGTCACAAAAATCTTCAGCATGCACAATTACAAACAGTAAAAAAACTTGACAAAAAAGGTAACCGATAAAGCAACATCCGTTAGAGTGTCTATCTGGTGCATCAGTATGATGGAAGAAAAGGCAAGTCAAACAATAATCATAAACACCCAAAAGATCAAGTGTGATAATTGGAACCAGGCTTACCTTCACAACCGTCTCAGTCATAGAAACTGACAAAAACCTGGCTATATTAGCTACAACCATCCACTTCCCTCTACCTAATTTCCGAGATTTACGAGATCTTGTTCTCTTTGAGCTTGTTTTCTTTGAGCTTTTACTTGAAGCCCTCATTACAACTTTTAAACCGCATATTAACAGCTGTAGTTTTGGATCCCTCGAGATCAACCCAGCCCCGAGCTTCACCAAGGACTGTCGTATACTGAGTCTGATTTCACTGATGAATATGCTCTCAACAGCACCCTGAAAATTATCCGTTATAGTGAGGAGAACAAAGATTAAAGTAATTCATGACCCAGCATATATAGAACATCTTGCAGGGAATTCTTGCCTTGTCAAGTAAACAATCACAAACTTGCAAATCAATGCCAGAACAGTTAGTTACAGCAACTTAAGAATTCCCTTAAGTGGAGGACCTAGCTAAATCATTGTGCACTCCAGACTTTGGTGTAAAAACAACCCAAAGTACGGGAATAACCCATAACATTAATTTCTATTCTGGAACTCAAGCACAAAAATGGCATGAGTAATTTTTTAGATTCAGATACCAAATTTTTTTCCAATAAAAGGTAATGCTTGCTAACAAGGACTCTGTTCTAGTCAGTTCATATCCTGCAACTCAAAAGATCTGATGCCAAGAAGGCCAAAGTGTTCTTCCACTTTTTTAGTTGATCTAAAACCAAAAAGCTTGCTGGCATGGCCAAAACTAGTTAAAGTGTACAGCACTCTAAGCAATGGATGGTACTTGAGACAATGAAACAAACAGAATAAGGACAAACGTAATATCATCATTATAGAAAACAGTTCTCCATAGCTTAAGATCATTTTCAATGACAATTCTTCGAAGGCACTGGAAATAGACAATACTAATGATTTTTCCAAATGAGAAGGTTTTGCCCACAACCATTCATGATTCAAATCGAGCTATGATCAAAGAAAGTTTCACCTGTAGATTAGCTACATGATCTTTGGCATGTTTTGCCAAGGAGGAGTAGGCACCAAGTGAATATGAGCCAGTTTGGGAACATGGTGGATAACAGGGCGGATTTAGGGGGGCGGAAGGGGGTTCACCCGAACCCCCTTCGCCGAAAATTTACGCTGTATATATAAGGCAAAATCTGTTTTTTACCTCTATATATTAAGTTTTGAACTCCCTTAACACAACCCAAAAGTGTAGCTTAGTGGTTAAGGGGGTTCAAAACCTTCCTAAGGTCATAGGTTCAATTCCCACTAGCTACAAATTTTTTGTTTGAACCCCCTTCGTGGAGATCCTGCCTACGCCATCGGATAACAACACTGTTTCAATCAAGATCTTCACAAGTATTATGTACTAGCCTAATACAACATAAGTTGAGTTGCCTCCTGTACCTCTACCAACAAACTTGGCTTGCAAAGAGAAAATGCTTTTCCAGGGAAAAGAAAGTAAAATTTCTAACACGGGGGCAAGAATTAAAGCTTTAACATAATCTAAAAGAATAAGAGTCATATTTTAGATCTTAACAGGACAACCATGGTACAGGAAGGAGAAGCTCTATAGGAGTCACATTTACTCCAAGAATCACACCGTTACAGTCAATTTGGATCACAAAAAACTAAAGCCTTAAGTCCTAAAAGTAATATTAGATATGTTTACAAATCCTATAGTAGTCTTAAGGACATTAACCTAAGATGAAACATAAAATCACTAATAATCTTGTATATTGTAAAAGCCAAGTGTCAAGACTAACAAATAAACTTCCTATTACTTATTATCTTTTTTTTTTTTTTTGAAAAGGTAAAGGTTTATTAACTGAATACCAAGATGGTACCAGAAAAGAGTACAAAACTGCTGCGAATATCCATGCAGTTAAAGGTTGACACAAAGGTTGATACTTATTATCTAACCAACTACTTAAGTAGTACATCACCTGTAAAGGTTGACACAAAGCAGTACGTAGTTGGAAAATGTATGCAGAAATTCAAACATAGTCAGCCAAAACAATGACAGAAAACAAAGCAAAAAGTAGTAAATTTAGTCTAGTTAAAAACTGTTCCACGAAACAAAGACATCATCAGAGACAGTTGATGTCACTCCCTTAAAGTTACAGATCAAACTGAAATAGAAAAAAGTTATTAAAAAAAAACTACCTTGTTGAACTTCACCGCCACATCTCTCAAGCAATTACATCCTCCAACACGGAATGAAATGGAGGCTTTCATGACCCGGCTTAAAATCCATATAAACAACCTGGAACCAAATCTGAGCAAGAAATGCATAGTGAGCATGCACTAAAACTAATTCAACGAATGAAAAAGGAAAAGGGTATAGAAGAAAAGAAAATTGCTCATGGATTCAAGATTGACCTGGAACCAAATCTGAGCAAGAAATGCATAGTGAGCATGCACTAAAACTAATTCAACGAATGAAAAAGGAAAAGGATATAGAAGAAAAGAAAATTACTCATGGATTCAAGATTGACCAAACGAGACGTACAAATGTTTTAGCTAACAAATTTCTCTAGATAGAACCAAACCCTTTTTAAAATCGTTAAGCTCAATTAGAGCTAGACTGCTTAATGCTGACAATAAGAAAAATGGAAAATTTTCTGCACTAACACTTTCTCATCACTACTAAGAGTCAACGTTACATATGACCTACAATAAACTTACAATTAATATTTTGCACCAAATAGAAGCAGTGAAGACGCATATCACTAAAACATGAGTCTAATCCAATTAAATTAAGCATTACATTCTACAACACCACTCTATATCAATATAGAGAAGAGAATTGTGAATGGATAGAAAAATTTTCTTATATGCTACATGTACTAGTGTCTAATTTTATTCGAGAAAAGCATTAGCACAACCGATAAAGTTCAACTAATAATGAATAATTCTCCCTCCCTCCATTTTACATGACAATATAATCCTTTGTTTTTTTTTCCCAAAAAGAATACGAGTTCGCAGTATTAGGGTCAATCCATTCAATTTTCCATCTTAATACAGACATTAGCTCCTTCATTTTACAAAAACAATTTAAATTAGCATAGTTTGAACTAATAAGAGTACAAAAGTTTAATAGTTTTATATTTGAAATATATTTTGCAGTTTTTTCCCCATAAGGCTTTGATTCAGTGATAAAGACACAAGGCAGGATGTGTACATAGGGCACACAGAAGTTAGCAGCTTATATTAATCCATAACATGAGTCAGAAGTACATAAGAAACATAAGCCTCATTGACAAACCAAACAAGGAAGCTATTGTACCATGAGACCTCGTTTACTAGAGAAATAGCAAACTTTGCTAAACTTGTGACTACAAGTATTATACTTCCTACTTATATACACAAAGGGGTCGTTTGGTATGAGGTATAAGAAGGTATAAGGGTGGTATAAAACTTTTATACCACCTTAATACTCTGTTTGGTTAGCAAACCAGGTATAAGTTATCCCGGTGTTAATTTTAACACCGGGATAACTTATACCTTATAGAAGGTGGGGTAATTAGCACCGGTATAACTTATATCTTCTTCTTAGAAATTATACAATTGTCATTCTTAATACAACATACCAAACAATGAATAAACAACAATCCCAACATAATTAATCCCAACATAACTTATCCCATTATAACTTATACCGGTATAAATCGTATTCCAACCAAACGACCCCAAAAAGTATAGGGCGCACAGTTCACCTAACAATTAAGTGAGAGCAAGATAGAGAGCGGCCCATACTACTGGGTTGCGCCAGCTAACTCAGAAGAGATCTCCGGTTATTAATAAAAAATACTCCCTCCTTTCCAATTTATGTGACACTATTTACTAAAAAGTACTTCCTTTTTGTGTGACACTACTTACTTTTTAAAGAATTACATTTCTATTTGAAAACAATTTAACTTTACACTTCTCATTTTACTCTAATTGTGAAGCTTTTACAACCACAGAAATATTATGGCATGTTTAAGGCACAAGTTTCAAAATTTCCCTTTGTTTCTTAAACTTGGTGGATCGTCAAATTACATCAGATAAATCGTAACATAAAGAGTATATCTTAAGAATATATGAAAATCCTAGTCAAAGAAAAACCATTTTGGGGGAGTGTCACATAAAATGGAATACTGAGTGTGGTAATGATTGAAAAATTAGTTTGATAGATAAATAATCTGAGAATGTCCCAAAATTGAAAGAGTGTCATAGAATTAGGAGTTTAGAACAATTAATAGTTGCCATAGAAATGTAAGCGAGAGCGAAGTATTCATTATTCACATGATATAGTAACAATTGATAAATACTTGAACTGCAATTGACTTACTTGATTATACTCCATAGTATTGCCGAAACAACAAAGAATCCCAACATATACTTCGCCAAAGAAGCAGCCATGGCGGTTGGCAAAAAAATGATTGATATATTGTCTCACTGATTAACCATTTTTCGAAGCTAAAAAAATAAAAAATCAATCCCTATACACTAATTTTCTGCACATCTTCTTCATGTGAAGAGAAAAGAAGAGGAAAAAAAACAAAGGAATTTCCAGTTCCTCTATGGTGGGACGAGTACTGAAGAAAAATACTGAATAGTGGAGGAGAAATTGACAGAGAAGAGGAAAGAAGCGAGGTAGACGGAGAATGGGAAATGGTCAAGTAGTGGTAAAGGAGTGTTTGTAGGAGAGGGACGTAAAATGAATTGTGTTCGATCCGCCATATTTGCTAAATCAAAGAGCATACGAGAGAGAGTGCGTAAAACAGAGAGACGCCTGTTCAATTCACTTGCCTCAATTTACAACTTGCTCCACTTAATTTGATGGATTTAAGTTATATATACATTACATTGAATTTAAACACGAGACATTTTTTAAAAATTAAATAATTTTTTCCTTTTTTAAAATCATGCATTTTTGGAGCCTTTTTTAACTCAGATTTGTAAAATGCTTAGTCGAAACTCTATTTTATTCCTGCATACTTACCCTTCTAAATTTTAAACACGTGATGTTTTATTTTTTGGGGAAAAAAGAAAATATTTTTCAAAACTCTTTCTCAAACTTCCTCACCTTGCCACGAAGGGGTTCAAAAAATTGAACTCATGACCTTAAGTAGATTTTGAACCTCCTTGACCCCTAAACTACACTTTTGAATTATGTTAGAGTATTCAAAACTTAATATATAGAGATAAAAAATAGATTTTGCCTTATATATATAGTGTAATTTTTCANGTAATTTTTAAATTTCTGTTTTTTCAACCCCTCTCCCCGGAATTTATATATATATATAGTTTTAGTTTTTTTATCTTTCAATTTACATGTTCGAAATTTTACAAGTTTCAAAGTTATGAGTTCGGAGATTTATGTGTGTGGAAGTTCACGAGTTTAGAAATTATAAATTTTACAGGTTCGAAGTTCGCGATTCGGAAGTTTATGAAATTTGTGGGTTCGGAAGGTTGTGGGTTCAAAAGTTTATAGCTTCATGTTTATTGTATCTAAATTATTTATGAATACTCTTGAGAAGTTATTTTCCTTAATTTACACACCAAACACCGAAAAATGAATAAGATTACTACTTATTTTCCAAGAAAATGTTTTCTTGAAAAAAATAATTCACAAAAAACATTTTCTATTACACCAAACACACCCTTAATTAGATTACTTTTTCCATTTAGATTTGTATATTTTTGAGAAGTTTATTTTTCTTGCCAGATTTGTTAACAAGCTCGGCGGAAACTTCATTCTTCCAACTTTCTACTTTACTATAAGCAACTAGTAATCGTATCCGCACGATGCACGGTCAATATTAAAAAATATTAATTAAATTAAATTATGATCGGGCTTGTTTGAATATATTAGATCGTGTTTAATAAATTTCAATTATCATCTTGAGAGGCGGAGTCAGGATTTCAACCTTATGGGTTCTAGATTTTGGAACCAGGACTTCAAGTGTTAATGACTGAGTTCTAAATTTAATATTTATACATATTTCATGAATTCAAAACACCAAATATATTGTTTGAGCAAAAGCACTGAATTCGGCCGAACCCTAGATCGGCTTGTGCCTCCGCCCCTGATCATCTTATTTGTCAATACGATATACCCAATAATAAAATCACTATTAAATTAAAAGGACTTATATTGTCATTAAATAACTTTTTTGTTCTATATTTTTCTTTATTATATTATCCAATGTTTAGTAATATTACATTGTCAATAGAAATTTTATAATCATATTACTTCGATTCATATTTTTACCTGCTCGCTTTCTTTTTGTAATATAAGAGAAGATATATATTTTAGAGAAATTTTCAGAAACCGCTATGTTTTAGTGATTATTAGCTTGTTATAGCTACCATTTACTAAATTACTTCCTATAACTATGTTTTCAGTTGTTATAGATTGTATTCCATGTATTTTTGCTACTGTATTCATGCTCGACGGAAAACAGGGGAGTCCAGCTAAGTAGAGAATGTATTCGACTGTATTCGCGAGCCGTATTCGTAAATACAATAATGGAATTTGCGAAAAAAGATCTTCAGCCGTTTAAAAACGGTAAGTGAATCAATTAGCGCGATAACCCAACAAACTCAATTATAACACACAAAATTTGTATTTCCAGTTATAGAAAAGATTCTCAACCGAAAAACATCCAAAAAACAAAGCGATCTTCAGAAACTCAATCCATCCTTTCTTTTTTTTAGTGGTATCTTTACTAAAATATTTTTTAGTGGTATCTTTACAAATAGATTTATATATTAAAATTTATATAATTACATTGAATACAATTAAATACATAAAAATACATTGAATACATGAAGTATAGCAGGTCATCTATAGTGCAAAAACATATGAATCATACTACAGATATATTTGAATACATATATACATCTGAATGCATAAATTATATTAATTAAAAAAGTATATGAATACATTCATGGAATATAACGAGACAATGCATATGATGAAATACATGCAATACAGCGATATACATTGAAATACAATAAAAAAAGGTAACAGACTCTTCAAATTCCTCGGCCCCAAACGTCGTGCCCAATCCACCGATATCTAGGCCGCCACCATGTGGGGAATCGCCTCCAATTAAATGAAGACAGTTGTTGAAGAAGTACCAATTTAAAGGATCAAACGAAAACTAGAGATAGAACTTCTTCATATCTCACACGACAAACATGAACAATCAATGCGAAATCTAAGAAAAATTAGAATGTGTAACACAATTGTGTAAAAGAAATCGTCGGTCAGGAGAGTTTAGGGGTGACACAACAAGGAAGGGGGGAAGTGGTCGCCGACCGGATCTGACTTTGGTGGAACACAACCCCCGCTAGGGTTTCTAAAAGCAATGAAGGAAAAAATCGGGGGGGGGAAAGAGAAGAAAGAGGAAAGAGAAAGGAGGAGAGAGGGAGAGAGAAAATAATACACAGCGTATTTAATGGCTTAAAGGTAGGAAGTGCCATAAATAGATATTTTGTTATAAAAATTAAAAGGTAGCTATAAGAGATAATTTTTTAAAAGGGTATTTATTTATAATAAATAAGATATCAACCTTTGCTATAAGAGGTACAATTTCCTAATTTTATTACTCTTGAAATATTTTTTATTTTAAATTTTATTCTGTTGTTCAATAATATTATCTGAATTTTAATGAATAAAATCTCTATTAAATTAAAAGGACTTTTTTTTGGTTAAAAAGATAAATATATATTATGATTAAGTGTTGCGTACATAGGAAGGATGCTTATGTTGCATCCTATTATACGATAATTTGCTAGCACTGGGTACCAAACTATTATACAAACAGACATTAATACTATTATCTACTGCATTACTGCTGCAACTGACATTTATAGCGTCAGAATTGTTTGAGGTAGTGCTGAAGTCTTCCAAAACATATCCTTGCACTGCACTCCTTTCTTGTTCAAAAATTGGCCATGCAAAATCTGGGTTGTCTTCCAAAATACACACCGCTGGGTTATGGTCAAAATTACAGCCTAACTTTACTAGTTTATTTGCAACCCTATTCTTCTCTCTGTACGCATGTTGTACTACTGGCTTACCTAACCTGTCCAGGAAGTACCTGCAGTCAGTTAACAAATTATCAAATGAGACATTGTTAGAGAGGAGTTGTGTAATAATGTTTTGTGAATCCACTTCCACCTCCAGTGAAATAAAATTGTGGGTGTATGCCATCTTAAGTCCTTGTAACAAAGCAAGCAAATCTGCTGAAGTTGATGAATCTCTTGGGACTGCTGCTGCAAAGCCCAACATCCATTCAGCGGTTGAAATTTCGGATTAATCCACCAATGCCAGCCTTGGTTGCTGTATGAGCTCCGTTAGTATTTAGTTTATAGAAATTTTCTTTTGGAGGTGTCCATTTTAGATTTTGTTGTCTTTTTTAACGCAAGTGTGTTTATAAGCTACTAGGTATGTGTATTCTGCCGCTTGTTAAGTTATATGTTTAACTGAAGTTGTGTTCATAATATGCCTATAACAATTATTATTACGAGCTAGCCATATATTCCATAAACTTAGAGTTAGATATATAGCTAGATTCATGTGATAAGGAAATTGAAGATCCTTACAAGTTATGAGGTCATTTACCCAATTACAGGTGTTTCTATAGGATATTTTTGTATTAATAAAATGAAGAACTCCCAATTCCTGCCAATATGTTTTGGCATTTGTGCAATCAAGGAACAAGTGTCTAATAGTTTCATCCTCTTGGTGGCAATATTGACAAGTAGCATCCTAAATTAAATTAATATTCCTAAGGAATTCCTTGGTAGGTAGTCGTTTCCTATACAGAAGCCAAATAAACCCTTTGATTTTGGGTTGCATAGGAAGCTTCCACATCCAATTATATTTCGTAGAACTATTAGTAGTTTCAGTTAGTTGTGCTTCCAAAACTCTATACATGGATCTAGTTGTAAAGTGACCCATTAGAGTTAGACCCCAAAAAATATTATCTACCTTATTACTATATTTGGAAATATATGTAGTTTGAATTTTGCGAGTAATATTAGTAGGTAACTCAAAAGGTAAATTGTTCCAATCCCATCCAGTATCATTTATTAAAGAGGAAATAGCGATATTCTGATGGCATAACGGTAATGGACCCTGAATTTGTGATCTAATTATTGTGTCAAGCCCAATCCATGGATCTTCCCAAAACTTGATATGTGTGCATTTTCCTATCTTCCATTTTATTCCCAACTGACAGTGATGCCAGCCATTGATAATATTAGTCCAAATTTGTGAGTGAAAATATTTAGGTGATGTATTAAGATATTTGTTAAAAAGGATATTAGCCCACATTGCATGTGGCGACTTAAAAATCCTCCAAGCTCGACTTTCTAGTAAAGCATAGTTCTTTTGCCGTAATTTTTGAATTCCTAATCCTCCTACTTCCTTTGAAGTAGTTATTTCATTCCATTTGACAAGGTGTAGTTTCTTCTTTTCTGAAGTTGTACCCTATAAAAAATTCTGTTGATATTGTTCCATTTTATTAACTATGTGAGCCGGAATATGAATATACTGCATGATATAGTTTGGTAACTGGTTTAGAGTAGATTTTATTAGTGTGGCTCTTCTTGCCAAAGTTAAAAACTTAGATTTCTTTCGCGACCCTAAATCCAGATCCGGTCGTGATGACGCCTCTCGTGAAGACAAGGTCAGCCAACACTTTCCATTTTAGTTTTAAGAAATTAAACAATAAGATTCAAATCTAAAGCATAATAAAATAATCCAAAGTTTAAGTAGTCAACAGTACAAATTTGCGG